AAATATCCTCATACATGTTAAACACTCAATAAGTGATATAATTTTTAATCATAAACATGTCTAAAGACTTAAGTCTTCTAACAATGGAATGGGATCCCTTCTACATAATGAATACCAAATAACTAGAAACATTAAGCATTACCTGGATAATCCTCCTTTCAGTGATGTTCTAAAAGGTGTTCCTGCTTTGATGGGAGACAGATTAACTCTGAAATCCCTTCTAACACTAAAAACCTGTACAACACTTACTGATTTGAACACTGCCCTGAGCAATGGCAAAATGAAATAGAGACTTTTGGTCCAGTAACAGGTAAAAATAATATCCAATTAAAGTTAATGGTTCACAAGAGAAGCAACATGAGTAAAACAGGCAATGGAAACAACACTTCTCAATTAGTTAAACTAACAGCTCTGAAGATCTCCTTACTCCACAGAGAGGCCTTTACCTATGCATCAGAGAGGGAGAAGGTAAAATTAGGACCATAATCAGGCAGTAGAGGTTGCAGGAAGGGTGGAAGCTATAATGATAAAGTCAAGAAATCAATCGGATTCAGGAGCCGTGGAAAGGGTAGAAAGCTAAGGAGCACAGTCTCCACTGGCATCTGAGCTAACTTGTTTTGTTCTTTTTTAGAGACAGGGTCTTGCTATGTTGCCCAGGCTGGAATGCAGTGGTATGATCCTAACTTGCTGCAGCCTCGAACTCCCAGACTCAAACAATCCTGCCTCAGTTCATAGCTGGGACTAGAGGCACACATCACCACACTCAGCTTGAACTAACTCTTTTTCTCAACCTTATGCCTTTCAATATCCGTTATTTCACAGATAGACTACTGAGCAGCTACTAGGAATATCTATTAGACACCTACACACTTTTTTTTTTTGAGACGGAGTCTCACTCTGTTGCCCAGGGTGGAGCGCAGTGGCGCGATTTTGGCTCACTGCAACCTCTGCCTCCCAGCTTCAAGTAATTCTCCTGCCTCAGGCTCCCGAGTAGCTGAGATTACAAGCATCTGCCACCACATCCAGCTAAAATTTTTTTTTAACTTTATTTTTTAGTAGGGACAGTGTTTCACCATTTTGGCCAGGCTGGTCTTGAACTCCTGACCTCAGGTGATCCATCCACCTCGGCATCCCAAAGTGCTGGGATCACAGGCGTGAGCCACCACTCGACCTAGAAACTTATACTTTTTCATTTTAATGAACAGACATTGTTCTATCTGAATGTTTATATTTTCAGTTCTCTATTTCCAACAGTTCCTTTTATTATCTTTTGCTGGGCCCAAGGATATTGAAGCCATCCATTGCTTTACTTGTCTTCCAAGTTCATCAGTGTCTGCACTGCAAAGGAAACAGATTGTCAGGCTGGAGAACTAAGAATATTCTACATATATAAATGTTTGGTGAAGACGTTGCTTTTCTGGGTTCTAGGTTCCCACAAAAGTCTTTTACTAATCTTTAAGCCTTATGATTCTGTGTACTCTTTGCCATAGAGAAGTTTATCAGGATTAAAGAAACCACCTTGCTGCATTTTCCTCCTTTTCACCCTGTCCTCCCTAGAGAATAAGTGGGAAGGCAGGGCTAAGGAGGACTAGCAGGAACAGGATTAAATTTAGGCAACATTTTGAAGTAAGCAAAGCCTGTCTTTCACATCTTGCCCTAAATTCCGTGTTCCAATGTTATAAATTCCTCTTGTTGCCCACCTGTACCCACCACACACAAACACACAGTCCTCCTCTCTAATTTCTTATTTTCACACTGAGTTGATTTCAACTAGGTATGAGGGGAAAAACCCAGATAACACATATTAAATTATAAAAATTCGCCCCTAACTCTTCTGTTTTAGCTTTGTTTTGAGATGGAGTGTTGTTCTGTTGCCAGGCTGGAGTTCAGTGGCGTGATCTCCGCTCACTGCAACCTCCGCCTCCCAGGTTCAAGCAATTCTCCTGCCTCAGCCTCCGGAGTAGCTGGAACTACAGGCATGCGCCACAACGCCTGGCTGATTTTTTGTATCTTAGTAGAGATGGGGTCTCACCATGTTGGCCAGGATGATCTTGATCTCCTGACCTCGTGATCTTTCTGCCTCCGCCTCCCAAAGTGCTGGGATTACAGGAGTGAGCCACCATGCCCAGCATTTTTTTTTAACTTTTAGAGGGAAATTTTATTAATTCAAATTAGTCATAGAGTCATGAAATTTAGGAAAAATAACTGAATAGTTCTCAGTTTACATCAGACTGTACTATTTAAATCACGTATTTGTCTTTATAGAGGCTGACACTAGAAGGGGCAGATACAAACAGAAGTTTAGAATTCATAAACCTCGGCCGGGTGCGGTGGCTCACGCCTGTAATCCCAGCACTTTGGGAGGCCGAGACGGGCGGATCACAAGGTCAGGAGATCGAGACCATCCTGGCGAACCCGGTGAAACCCCGTCTCTACTAAAAAAAATACAAAAAACTAGCCGGGTGAGGTGGCGGGCGCCTGTAGTCCCAGCTAATCGGGAGGCTGAGGCAGGAGAATGGCGTGAACCCAGGAGGCGGAGCTTGCAGTGAGCTGAGATCCGGCCACTGCACTCCAGCCTGGGTGACAGAGCGAGACCCCGTCTCAAAAAAAAAAAAAAAAAAAATTCAAAAACCTCTTTAGGGAGTTAGGATAGTGAGCACTTGTGGGCCTCCTGCTCATTGTCTGATCCCCATAGCTCTCCAGATTGAGCCTTAGGCCCTGCTGCATTTCAAGTCTGAAATGCAATCTTCAGAGAGAACAAACGTGCAGAAACCGGTGGGCTGCCCAAATCAAGCAAGAGCCTACCTTGTCCTAATTCCCAACAACTGGGATTAGACTTTCTCTTCTTGGGAAATAAGCTCTCATACCTCATAGGATTTGGGCGTCCCGTGCTACAGAAGCAGAGTTTCTAGGTTCTCTCTCAGTTAGGGAAAAGTGGGACACATGCCCAGAATGTGACATACCAAACCAAGAATTTGCCTATTTTAGGTGTAGGCAGAAATTTAGAAGCTGAGATGCCAGAATAGCGGACACCCTCCTCCTCCTCCACAGTTATAAACACTATATATATATTCCCATGGTCCCCATGACTACCTTAACTCCATACCTGCAAACTCTTGTAACTTCTTACGCTCCTCTAGGTTATACTGAAGATTTTCTAGCAACTTAAAATGTCAGAAGAGTGAGTCTCTGGGCCAAACATGGTCATCCTGATCCATTTGCATTAGCCCAGGCAGATTTTCATGCACAAGAGTCTCCCAGTCCAAATGACCTGTCGGGAGGAATGCTTCAGAAAAGCATGGCTAGGTTTGTAAAAGTTGGGTAAGAGCTGGTGAATCCTATGGTGTGGGTGGAAAGGTGGGGTGGGAAGAAGTAACAGGAAGCAAGGAGGGAAAGGGTGCATCAGCAAGAAATCACTTTTTACAGTGAGCAAAGAGGGCCATAGCCACACTTACCCAAAGTGAAGAAGGAGGACAGGGGAAATTAAGAAACAAAAAGAAATTAAGACCAGAAAATTGGAAAGGAGATACAGTAGGAGAGCTCCTGTTAAGACTCAGATGTCTTATAAAAGAGTCTGAATTCAAATGGAAAAAACTCATTATTATAGTTCTTTGGCTCACCAATAGATTCAGAAAATCTGGATTCGGAAGAGGAAGAATAGGAAGAGGATGTGGAGGAAACAGAGGAGGAAGACTGGTACTCTCTCTTTTTTGACAAGGTCTCTTCTGTTTTTGATGCAGATGTTATTAAATCCTCTTCAGTGGCACCATAATTAGACTCTACTTCAGACACTTCTGGTAAGTCCAAACTTTCCCTTTGTTGACCAGCTCCTCTTGAACTGAAAGGAGAAATTTATGGCTTCACAAACATTTACAAGACATGACTAGTCCACTCATTATTCTAGTTCTGGCCCTTGCCACCCCCTAAAGCTGGGGCATAAGACAATCAGGGCCAAACTACTCCCAAACTCTAAACTCAGGCACTTCCAAACTCAATCATTCATGTATCATCCTTAACTCTTCTCTTCCCTACCATATCCAGTCCATCAAGAAATCATGCTGACTCTACCTTCGAAATAAATTTTTTCTCACTAACTCACTGCTACCACTCTGGCCTTAAGCTGTCATCATTTCTTGCCTAGGCAGCAGCATAGCCTCCCAACTGATCTCTCTGCTCCTTCCCTTGTTCTTCTACCAACACAGTAACCAGAGTAATCCTTCTTAAATGTAAGTCACCTCATGTCACTCCTCTGTTCTGCTTTCCATTTCAAAGTCCCTACAATGGCACCCCTAACCCTACAGGATCATGTCACTATTATCTCTCTGACTTCATTTCCCAGCACTCTTCCCCCTGCTCACTCTACTCCATTCACAATGGCCTCCTTGCTGTTTCTCAAACACACCAAGCATGCTTCCAGCTTAGGACCTTTGCACTAGCTGTTTCATTTGCCTATTAACACTCTTCTTATAGATACCCACATGGTGATCCCCTTACCTCCTTCAAGTCTTTGCTCATATTACCTTTTCAATGAGGTCACCCTGACTACCCTGTTTAAAACTATAACCCATCTGTGGCTGGGCACGGGGGCTCACGCCTGTAATCCTAACACTTTGGGAGGCTGAGGCGGATGGAGTGCCTGAGTTCAGGAGTTTAAGACCAGCCTGAGCAACATGGTGAAACCTCGTCTCTATTAAAATACAAAAAAAAAAAAAAAGAAAAATTAGCCTGGCATGGTGGCATGCACCTGTAGTCCCAGCTATTTGGGAGGCTGAGGCAGAAGAATCGCTTGCACCTCAGAAGTGAAGGTTGCACTGAGCCAAGATCATGCCACTGCACTCCAGCCTAGCGACAGAGCAAGACTGTGTCTCAAAACAAAACAAACAAAAACACTACAACACATCTGCAATCCCACTTTCTACTCCCAATCTCCCTTAACCTATTCTACTTTTAATTTTCCCTTAATGCTTATCATATTTTAACATATTAATCTATTTAATATGTTCACTGCTTATTATCTCTTTGCCACTACTAATATGTAAGTTTCATGAAGCAGGCATTATTGTCTATTTTGTTCATTGATACATCCCAAGCACCTACTAAGTATTCAATAATTATTTGTTCTTTATTGTTTTTTGTTTGTTTTTTTGAGACAGGGTCTTGCTCTGTCACCCAGGCTGCAGAGCAGTGGCACAATCACGGCTCATCACAGCCTCAGCCTCCCAGGCTCAAGCGACCCTCCCACCTCAGCCTCCTAAGTAGCTGGGACTACAAGAGCACACCACCACATCCAGCTGATTTTTGTTTGCAGAGGCAGAATTTTGCCACATTGCCTAGGTTAGTCTTGAACTCCTGAGCTCAAGTGATCTACCCACCTCAGTTTTCCAAAATGCTGGTATTACAGGCATGAGCCACTGTGCCCACCCTGCTAAATTTTTGAGACGGGATCTTGCTCTGTTGCCCACGCTGGACTACAGTGGTGCAATCATGTCTCAATGCAGCCTTGAACTTCTGGCTTGAACTTCAAGCAATCCTCTTGCCTTGGCCTCTCACAGTGTTGGGATTACAAGTATAAGCCACCACATCTAGCCAGTAATTATTTGTTAATGAGTGAATGAGTTCATTTTTGCTTCTGCTCTCTTTGTCCACTGCTAAACGCTTAGGGTCTAGAATCATATCTGTTTCATTGAAGGTATGTGTATTAGTGTCCTGTGGCAGCCATAACAAATTACTATAAACTTGGTAGCTTAAAATGACAGAAATATATTCCCTCACAATTCTAGAGGCCAGAGTCTGAAATGAAGTTGACAGGGCCATACTCCCTCTGGAGGCTTTGGGGGAGAAGTTCCTTGCGTCTTCTACCTTCTGGCAGCTGCCTGGCATTCCTCAGCTTTCCTTGGCTTGTGGCAGCATTAGCCCCAACCTCTATTTCCATCTTCACATAGCCTTCTCCTATTCTCTGTGTCTTCTCCTCTTTCATCTCTTATAAGTATCCTTGCCAATGGATTTAGGACCTACCTGGATAATCTAGGATGATCTCATTCTAGATTATCCTTAGGATTATCCTTAACTTAGGATCTTTTTTTCCCAAGTAAGGTCACATTCACAGGTTCCAGGGAGTAAGGACATGGATATATTATTTTGGGTGCCACTAGTCAACCTACTACAATATGCAGTTATTAAATGAATGAATTCTCTCTCAAAGCCAATCTTCATTCTTTAGTTTTCCACCCTCTCCTCCTTCATGTGTTTCTATTCCAGTTCACATACATACTCCTAACCTGTCATCTATTTTGCTATGGCTTGACCTCAGTGCCTCCTGTGACACGTTTTTTCTCCTGCAAAGCAAATT